AAGCTTCATTGGGGGAAATAGATTGGGTGAAAAATATATAAGACCCAGAATTTATGTATGAGAAAATGAAGAAAATGACTGTAGCATTATTTTAACTATTCAACCAGAAGAATAACCCCAGTCACAGTGACGGAACAAAGGTCAGCTAATTCACACAGACCCATCCCTACGACTGCAAGGCCAAATCAGCAAATCACATTTTTTTAAGCCCTTCTGTCCAGCTCTCTGCTGAAAACTGATCAGCAATCATCATTCAGTCAAAAGTCCTTTGAAGTGAGAAATGCAACACAAGATGGATTTCTTTGGAATGTGGAAAAGATCTAGGTCGTAATTAACTGGAGCTGGCCAATGTCTGATTAAGGGCCATCCTAGCAAACTCGAAAAGGTGAAGAACATGAAGCAGTTGACAAGAAACACTTGACCAGCATCTAACCTTTCTAACAATGTACTGTATTTATATCCGAGAAGCTTTACAACTATTTAAAATAGACCAAGCTGGAGCATGATGCCCAGAGAACTTCACTGAAAACAAAGCATAGCAAAGTTTGAAACTTAAATATACTAACCGGGGGGGGGGGGAGTGGCAGTCACAGGAAACCATGACACACTTCATTTCAGTATAGATATAGTGGTTTGAAAGGGGCCTCCAAATATATACTTTGTCACATGCCCTATACAAGGAATTTCCTCAAACTATCTACAGGAAACACATTGCATTAGAAAGCAATAAAGGAATGAATATTCAAGATAATTCTTTCATATGAATGTTTCATTCAACACAATATCCTTCATTAGGCAAAGTATATTTCTGCTTTTCCTGAAGTATAATGGGGTAGTAGGGAAGCCAGGTACGTTTTACTACTTCCTTACAATTCTGAAGACGTACCAAGATCAGTCAGCAGAACTTTTTTGAGGGACAGGAACAAAACAAGAGCAACATAATCGAGTTAAACTTATAAATTACTTCACACATACACAAACACGACGAAAGAAGAACAGTCAATCCTATTGTTTCTGTGATTTTCCCAGTTCGATCAATTAAAAACAAATATGTTACTAGTTAAAAACGAGAGGAGAGATGTGCCCCAAATCATATTGTGTAAGTTCTTTTTTTTTTTATTTTAAAAAGCAAACTAAGAAATTAAGTGCTGGCCCTTGTGCAGAGAAAGGTTATCATTCCAGGCAACAGATTCTGGGAGCAGGCAGCAGCAACAAGGTGATGGTGTTTTGTATATCAAGCCAGCTGCCATATTTCCTTCCCCCAGGTGTAGAAGACCCTGTCCTGTCAGTGCTCAAGTATGATTTATCTGCCAGCCCTATTGGCTTCTGCACTTAAAATGGAAAATGAAACTATTCTTTCCTTCACCTAATGCAGCTAAATGTATTTGGCTGGTTCTGGTGTTCTGACAATTAGGGATCAGATGTAACACCAGTGGTAAAGTCTAGTTAAATTTTCTGTTCTACATGCAAGTCAGTTGGCATTAATAGTACAACAAACTACAAATGTCACAATATAGAAAATGGCTCCTTAAAGGATATAATAATAGTAACAATAATGCAAGCAATAATGGGGAGGGGGTGCAAACTATTACTCTCCTCAACTAGAACTGTTTCAGTGGATGTGGCTTTTTCTATTTCCTCAAATTCACCACCATCCACTTTCCAGACATGCCAAACAAATGCCAAAATGTATCATATAAAAATGTAAAACAAACTTTTGCTTGAAAATTGTGTTATGATATGTCACAACCAAACCAAGATCAATTATTCGTTTTTCTGACATATCCACAGATGAAAACCATCTACCTTCACTCTAGTCAACAAATGATGGATCAACAGCTGTAATTGTCAGTTTGCTTCTGGCAAGTAAATCATTTGCTCTGGCAACAGCTTGTGATCATAAAAACTCCTACCCTTCATCCATGCCTGAAGAAATATGAGGATTGTTTTGTTCCACTGTTACAACATCCCTTCAAGTGATCCTGGGTGGATTTCCTTCCAAATGCAACCCTGTATGAAGACATAGCCACCACTGTTGGTGAAGGGAACAAGTGGAAGTAGCTGTCCAGGTTTTTTTGCTCTATCTAGAGATGTTAGGGATTGAACCTGGGACATTTTGCATGCAAACCAATTTCTCTGCTACTGAGCTGACTATTTCATCTAGAATAAGGTTACCAGACGTCCCCGTTTCCCAGGGACAGTCCCCAGATTTACAAATCAGTCCCCTGACTAAATCCTATCATTCCTACTAAAGTTGAAAAGTGTCCCCGGATTCATTGAAAAAAATCTGGTAACTTTAATCTAGAACAAACACTCCTGAAGTGCCTGATCACCTCATCTGTCTCCTGAGAAATCTCTATGTGGGACAAGAAGCTACAGTTAGAACTGGATATGGAACAACTAATTGGTTCAAAATTGGGAAAGGAGTACGACAAGGCTGTATATTGTCTCCCTGCTTGTTTAACTTATATGCAGAATTTATCATGCGAAAGGCTGGGCTGGATGAATCCCTAGCCGGAATTAAGATTGCCAGAAGAAATATCAACAACCTCAGATATGCAGATGACACAACCTTGATGGCAGAAAGTGAGGAGGAATTAAAGAACCTTTTATTGAGGGTGAAAGAAGAGAGCGCAAAATATGGTCTGAAGCTCAACATCAAAAAAACGAAGATCATGGCCACTGGTCCCATCACCTCCTGGCAAATAGAAGGGGAAGAAATGGAGGTAGTGAGAGATTTTACTTTCTTGGGCTCCATGATCACTGCAGATGGTGACAGCAGCCACGAAATTAAAAGTCGCCTGCTCCTTGGGAGGAAGGCGATGGCAAACCTAGACAGCATCTTAAAAAGCAGAGACATCACCTTGCCAACAAAGGTCCATATAGTAAAAGCTATGGTTTTCCCAGTAGTGATGTATGGAAGTGAAAGCTGGACCATAAAGAAGGCTGTTCGCCGAAGAATTGATGCTTTTGAATTATGGTGTTGGAGGAGACTCTTGAGAGTCCCATGGACTGCAAGAAGATCAAACCTATCCATTCTGAAGGAAATCAGCCCTGAGTGCTCACTGGAAGGACAGATCGTGAAGATGAGGCTCCAATACTTTGGCCACCTCATGAGAAGAGAAGACTCCCTGGAAAAGACACTGATGTTGGGAAAGATGGAGGGCACAAGGAGAAGGAGACGACAGAGGACAAGATGGTTAGACAGTGTTCTTGAAGCTACCAGCATGAGTTTGACCAAACTGCGGGAGGCAGTGAAAGACAGAAGTGCCTGGCGTGCTCTGGTCCATGGGGTCACGAAGAGTCGGACACGACTAAACGACTAAACAACAACAACAACAACAACAACAAAACACTCCTGACACACAAAGAAAACCCAGTTCTGCCAGTACTAGGCAATTCCAATAGACTGCAACCAAGAAAAATATTGGGTGTCCTAGAGAAATACAGCTACTGAGTCCTTTAAAAAAGAAAAACAAGACATGTAGATCCTGCAAAATCACATCCCATGCAATGCAAACAATGCTGATTGCTGCCTATTTGAAAAATTTTAATATGGCACAATATGTTATTGCATTCTCAAAATTGTTTACTGTATTGGCGAGATCATAAAATTGGCGGGGGTAGGAGAGAGAGAAAAAGAACAACAGAAATGGTTCCAAACACATTTTCAGATGTTCTTTTTCGTAAGGAAAATCTGTAAAAACAATACAGAAAATATACATTCTCAAAGAACACAAAGCAACATACTTTAATGAGAAACACAAAAAATAATAAATTATGTCAGACAAATTCTGCAGTAATTCAGCTACAATGAATAACATGTAAACATTCTACATTAAAACAATATGAGACCTTAGGGCAGACAGTACAACAAAGCTATAATAATGGTAAGTATTATTAGCCAATATTTATTTTTAATATAAATGGAGGAAGGGGAACACACAAAACGTAAGCCAAGACAAATGTGTGTGTGTTTAAGAAAGAAGAGATTGAGTTTCTCTTTTCTGTGCATCAACAAAGCAGGTTTTCCACAGGTTCTGCTTTCCATTTATAAATTCGTATATACAGCTGGTCATGAGATGCGCTTCACAACTGTAGATGACTCAACTGAAACTGGTAGGAATAGAAGTACAGACATTAACAGTTTCCTTTTTTTAAAAAAAGGACTTCCTTTGCAGAGATAAAAGTACCACACCACTTGAAATGCCCCTTTTAAAGAAATCAGCATTTTCAACACTTAACGAAATCCGAGCAAAGCAGCAGCCCCAAACCAAACTGCTGCCTCCCTCAAAGCAGTGAAAAGTTATATTAGCAAATGTACACTTTATGGTTTTAAAAAAGGCAAATAAAACCATCTTAAAAGGCAATATCATTTGGAAAAGCAAAACACATCAATTTGGCTCATTTAGGTGACACTAATTTTTCCAAATTCCCAGTGTCAAAATCCACAATTAAGTCACTCTTTTCTGAAATCATAAACTTGATGAACATTTTGGTAGGTCAACCATGAGTTCAGAAGTAACTTAAGTCTGAACACTATCTTGCAATATTTTGGTGGGTATATTTTTGAATACCTTCTGTTTCTGCTCTTTTCCAATCTTTTTGTGGGAGCATCCAAGGACCACAAACACCATGAAGTGGGGATGGGAGAATGCCTGCACTGCTACCTATACATTGGTTCTTCTCCTGCCTGGATTCAGCAACGTCACAAAGTAAATTTAATCATAGAATTGTAGAGTTGGACGGGATCCTGAGGGTCATCTAGCCCAACCTCCTGCAAGGGAGGAATCCCAACTCAAGCACCCATGACAGGTGGCCATCCAACCTCTGCTTAAAAACATCTAAGGAAGAAGAGTCCATAAGGTCCGGAGGAAGTCTGTTTCACTGTCGAACAGTTCCTACTGTCAGAAAGTTCTTCCTAATGTTTAGTCAGGATCTCCTTTCTTGAAGCCATTAGTTTGGGTCCTACCCTCCAGAGCAGGAGAAAACAAGCTTGCTCCATAGACAGCTCAGCTGGTAGAGCATGAGACTCTTATTCTCAGGGTCATGGGTTAGAGCCCCATGCACTGCAGGAGGCTGGACCCTTGGGAGTTCCTTCCAACTCTACAATTCTATGATTTTATTATCTTCCATGTGACAACCCTTTAGATATTTGAAGATGGCTATCATATCTCCTCTTGGTCGCCTCTTTCCCAAGCTAAACATACCCAACACCCTCAACCATTCCTCATAAGGCTTGGTTTCCATGCCCCTGATCATCTTGGTCACCCTCCTCTGCAGACATTCCAGCTTATTAATATCCTTCTTAAATTGTGGTGCCCAGAACTAGGCACAGTACTCCAGGTGTGGTCTGACCAAGGCTGACTAAAGTGCCACTATTACTCCCCTTGATCAGGATGCTATATTTCTGTTGATGCAGCCTAGAATAGCATTAGCCTTTTTTGCGCCTGCATCACACTGTTGATGCATGTTAAACTTGTGGTCTACTAAGGCCCCTAGATCCTTTTCACATATACTATTGCCAATCCATATGTCCTCCACCTTCTATTTGTGCAGCTGGTTATTCTTGCCTATATGTAGTACCTGACACTTGTCCCTTCTGAAATTTATTTTGTTAGTTTAGGCCCTGTTTTCTAACCTGTTAAGGGCTTCCTGAATTCCGATTCTGTCTTCTGCGGCATTAGCTACCCCTTCCAGTTTGGTGTCATCTGCAAATTGATGAGTATCCCCTCAATTCCTTCATCCAAGTTGTTTACCAAGACATTAAACAACAATGGTTCTAAGGACAGAACCTGCAGCACCCCACTTGTCACTTAAGTCCAGGCACTTTTAGTGAGCGTTCTTCAGGTTCAGTCAAGTCAACCAGCTACAAATACACCTAACAGTTACCCTATCCAGTGAGTTAGGGGAACAAGATAAGTAACCCTAACAAGTTAGCACTGAAGACAGCTCTTGAAATTATACCTTTACTATCCAACCAGACAGATGAGAATTTAATTCACCACTGAATACCAAAACAGTCTCTTAAGTATTTTACAAAAATAGCAAATATACTGGTATGTATATTGATAGATATATGTTGTGCGCACAGACAGGAAAACTAAAAAACAACAACAACCTGCAATCCAAAGGTGATGACAGTCCTATAGGCTGCCTTACCTATCTATATCCCGTTCCCCCTGCTCAGTATCTCGGCTGAAGCATTTCTCAGTCACTCACTCAATGGCAGCATCCTCCTCACACATTTTATATGTAAATTTTTTTCAAAGAAACAACAATGTAAAACAATGAAATACAAAATTCAAAAATGGCCATTCACAGTTTCAATCCGGACCTGGCATTAATTTATATGCCGCCCTTCATCATAAGATCTCAAGGCGGTTCCCAGAATAAAAAATTGGCAGGTTCTAATAGAATCTGAACACATGAAGCACAGGGCACGTTTGCTGATCACCACTCAATACCAAGCTGACCCAGAGATGGTTCCTTCTTATGGACCTTTTTGCAGTGCCTCACATGGAACGAGCAAAACAAAGTGAGCCCCTTCATCACCAGGTGAGCATATTAGGATGCCTATTAACTAGCATCTTTGAGTGATAAAATTTCAGGAGCTCTTCAGAAGACTCAACATCTTATCATGTTACAGTCCATGTAGCTTACTCTTCTAATGGTAAACCAGTTTGTAACTACATTTTAAAACCACAGATGAATTTCCTCTAAAACTGTACTGTCTTGGTTGGCAAAAATATCAGTAACACAAGAGTATGCAGAATTTTTCTCATGTTTTTCTTAGTTAGTTCTGTTGTAATTTTTGCAAACACCAAAAAGTGCAATACAGAAAATGAGGACACCATGGAACACTATGAAAGACCAATGAATCACACGCTGAATCACAAATCCATAGCTATCACTCAGCCTACAACTTTCTCTATTAAACAGAAGCCTTGAATTAAAGCCCAGTGAAGAAAATATTATAGGATTTATTCCTTTGTCCTCTTGTGAAATTATCACAAACTAAACAATGCATTTTCCTGCCAATGCATGTTCTCATTTGGGGGCTGGGTGAGGCTAGGGAGTGGATGGTGAAGAAAAGTTGTTTTGAGCCAGTCTTGGTGATTACTAATGCTTTAAAGGCTAAAACAGGAAATAATAATAATAACTGAATAATAACTGAAGCCACTTTACAAAGCTTTTTAAAATAAATAAATAAATCTCTATTTAGTACATAAAAGTGCACATCATATCAAATGCATTTCATTGCATAGCACCTTCCATTTTCAAGCACAGCCATTTTCATTAAAGAGTGTGTGTGTGTGTGTGTGTGTGTGTTAAAGAGTATTTCATTTCTGCTTCACATAAAGACACACATGTGCCAAGACACTATTTTACATTTATATGTACTAAATGCATCCATTTACAATACTTCTACGAATTATTTAAAAACAAAAACAAAAAACTGGCACTACAAAAACAGTTGCATCTGCACAAATAGACACACACACACACACACGTATGCCCTTGCATTACTATTCCTCAAATCCCAAAGCACACATGCAATGCTATTTTCATGAATTGTAAAAAGGCAAGGACTTGGAGAAAGTACAGAAAGGGGCAACCGAATTGGTCAAGGGGATAGAGCAACTCCCCGATAGGGAAAAGTTGCAGCATTTGGGACTTTTTAGTTTACAAAAAAGGCAAGCAAGCAGTAACATGATAGAAGTTTTATATACTGTATTTTTTGCTCTATAAGACTCACTTTTTCCCTCCTAAAAAGTAAGGGGAAATGTGTATGCGTCTTATGGAGCAAATGCAGGCTGTGCAGCTATCCCAGAAACCAGAACAGCAAGAGGGATTGCTGCTTGTGATCCCTCTTGTTGTTCTGGCATCTGAGATTCAGAATATTTTTTTCTTGTTTTCCTCCTCCAAAAACTAGGTGCGTCTTATGGTCTGGTGCGTCCTATAGAGCGAAAAATACGGTAATTATACAGTGTTTTCAAAAATGTTTAGGGGTACTCTCATTTTCCTACTCATATTGAAATACTGCCCCTCAATGAGGCCAAACTTAATGTTTAGGGGTATGTGTCCCCCTGCGTACCCCCAGAAAAAAAGCACTGATTATACATGGCATGGAAAAAGTTGGATAGAGGACAGTTTTCTCTCCCTTTCTAATAATGCTAGAACTCATGGACATTCCATGAAGCTGAATGTTGGAAGATTAAGGACAGGTAAAAAGTACTTAATGCAGAACACAGTTAAAATATAGAACTCAAAACCCACAGGAGGCTGTGGTGGCAACCAACCTGAATGGCTTTGAAAGACTGGACAAATAACATGGAGGACAAAGCCTATCAATGGCTGTCAGCCTCTAAATACAAGTTGCTGGTAGGTTGTGTTGTGTTCTTGTCTACCTTGCAGGCTTCCCACAGACATCTGGTCAGCCCCTGTAATGCTAGACTGGATAGATCATTAGCCTGATCCAACACGCTTGTCTTATGAACTAGTTTTATCTATAAAAAGGTACACATTTTGGGGGGAAATGCAGATGCTTCAGCAAAACCACAAACCAGAGTTGTTAAAAATACAGGATCACATTAGGAAAACCACACTACCACAAGTGCTGGAGTTTTACAACTCAATGAAACCTTAAAATAATAATTTCCCATTCATTTGCAGTTACCACTAATTAACTAGAACCGTTTAAGTACCCAAAAACCTTGACTGATCACACAACCACTAATGATTCTAGAATGAGTAAATGAAACAGAAATATTGTGTCTGAATGCATTTTTTTTTTAAAGGCTACAACTGATTTCTCTCTCTCAATTGTGGAAAACTAAATTATGTCTTGAAAATGAAGGAGTGAGAATTATAGCTTATGTCAGGGATGGAAAACTGCTAACTGGCATGCCAGGTCCAATACCCAAGTACTTTTAAAGTATTTTTCTACTCTCCCCCCCAAAAAAAATCCACTGATTTTATCTGCAAGGGCACCTGCAACAGCGAAAATATTAATAAAAAAATAACTACATGTTAGTAGCATTGGGGATGTTTTGGCATAGCCATGGCAGCATAGTTAGAAGTATTTCTCTAATTCCTCAGGAAACAGGAAGAAACATTGATTTCTAGTTCCTGAAATCTTGTGTACAGTGGTACCTCGGGTTACAGACGCTTCAGGTTACAGACTCCGCTATCCCAGAAAAAGTACATCAGATTAAGAACTTTGCTTCAGGATGAGAAGAGAAATTGTGCTCCGGTGGCCTGGCAGCAGCAGGAAGTCCCATTAGCTAAAGTGGTGCTTCAGGTTAAGAACAGTTTCAGGTTAAGAATGAACCTCTGGAACGAATTAAGTACTTAATCCGAGGTACCACTGTACTCTTATAACACTGCCCACTTCTTTTTATTTTACATAAAAAGCATTCCTGCCCACACAAGAAAAAGGAGGGCTGTATAGACATGGTTGCTCTCTCTCTTTATCTGACTGGCAAACCTCAGGAACTGAGGTAAAGACAGGATACTGTTGAACACCACCCACAATCTTCACAGCAGTTCCAGGCTCTTACCCAGGGTCTGTGTTTCCCTCTGGACAATGAGACACAGTATGCATATTTACTTATTGACACATATATACAACTTGAGCCAATAACGTTGGGGCTCCCAGCATCACACTTCAAAAGGGTTCTGCTTCTCCCATTGTAGTAGTCTCTGATTTAAACTGTCAGCCCGTATTGTGTTCAGACCCCCCCCCTCCAGCCTGCTGCGTTTAACAGAGTGACACCTTTTCCCCTCGATCATGCCATAGCCAACCGAAATCCTCAAATTTCCTCCTAACAAAAACTCTGGCTTCTGAATAACGATCTCAGACCTCAAGGTCGGGCTCCACCCATCTGCCAGCTGACAAGAGTCTCTGATTCACTGATAGCCCATCTCCATGTCTTTGTTCTCTGTTAATCGTATCTCAGGCAATCGTCTTACATGGAAATCTGAGTCCAGCTATTAGAAGCCTCACTTTCAGTTTAACTCACCAAGCATTGATTAAATTATAACACTGACTAAATCCAGGAATTATGGGTGCCTT